CCGGGGTTGGGAGAGATTCCCTTTCTACCTCAACTACCATCTCTCTCTCCACCGGGGTTGGGAGAGATTCCCTTTCTACCTCAACTACCATCTCTGTCTCCACTGGGGAGGGCAGAGACTTGGTAGGACTCTGGAGTTCAACAGTGCCATTCTTTTCACATTCAGCTTCTTTCAGCACTTCATCTTTAAGAGCAACTTCAGTGACCTTTTCCTGACTGACCATCACATCTCTGTCTACAGACACTTCAAGTCCTCTGACAAATGGTGTGTCTCTGGTTTCTTCATCAACACACTGGCCAGCCTGTTGCATCACTTCAGTCTTCAAAATGGGTTCAGTTTCCATGGATACCTCTTCATCTGTATGTTCTGGAACATCTTCCACTTTTGTTTGCTCTTTCTTTTCTTCCTGGGATTGAAGATCAGAAGGTGCTAGAAGCCTCTCTTTCTGTGCAGGAACGGACTCTGCTTCTGGGACCCCTGGTTGGGTTCTGGATGCAACCTCTTCATCTTCCTGGGTTTCCACAATCTCATCTTGCTGTGCTGTATCTAGAGCTTCCAGATCTGCTACTGGGGCACTTCCACTGGTCTCACTGCCTGTCGGGGTTTCAACTGAGTCAGGGGGGATAGCTTGTTCTACTATAATCTCCTGTGATTTTACCCCAGCTAAGGTTTCAGCTTGACCAGTGGTTATAAGTTCACTGGACTCTACACTCTCTGTGAATTGAAGAGCTTCTTCTAAGCTTTCTGGGGTGGCCTGTACCTCCTCCCCTTGTGTAAAATGCTCAGGTTTAGTCTGTTGTGTATGCACTTTCAACACTACATCCATCTCTGTCTCTAGGCCTAATGCTTTAGAATCTTCCTCTGCTTCTTCCAGCTTCTCTGGTAGTTCTGATTCTACTTTCTGCATGGTCTGAATTGTGTCTTCTGGCCCAATGGTGCCATGCAGCTGGGATTCCTCTTTCACTTTTTCTGCAACCGCCTGTAGAACCTCTTGAGTCCGCCTCTCTTGCTCGTCTACGCCTGGCACACCACCTTCTACCTCCTGAACTGGTGTCACTTCCTCTGTGGTATCCGGAGAGTCGGTTAACTGGGAAACTGCTGACACCATTTCTGTGGTCTCTTCAGCACCCGATCTTTCGGCTGCTTCTTCAGCACAAAATGCCTCTGTTGTTTCTGCAGCTGTCACAGCTTCAGAAGTTACTTGCACCTCACTGATGAACAAGTTGTCACAGGCATCTCTGTTCTCTGGCACAGGTGTGGAAACCATGGGGATTTCTTCAGCAATCACTTCTCTTCCAAACACCTCCCCAGTTAATGGTGTGGCTTCACCTTCTTCTGTTTGTTCAACAGGTTCGGTCACGGAAGCAGATATCCAAGAAGGAGACCTCTCTTCAACATTGGTACCTGCCCTGGTTCCATCAAGGACAGCCGCAGCCACTGTGTGAACCAACCTCTTACTGAGCTCCTCAGATACATCAACATTGGCCATCTGCTCAGGCTTATCCGCACTTTTTTGGGCTTGCTGTGCTTCCATTTTCTCCATTTCTACCGCATCATATTCAGACAGAGGGACCACAGCTGGAACGTCAGCATCGTCTTCATTGACCTCTGTTGTCCCTGTATCTTCAATAACGCCTGGTTCTTGTTTCCCATCTGGCCTTTTTTTCCTTCGTCCAGGCATAAACTTCTTGATTGAGACCCACGATTCCTCTTTCCCAGGTTCAACATCTGAAGCCGAATGTTCTATTCCAGACCCAGTCAATGAGTCTTCATTTTTCTCTTCCAGTTTTGACTTGGACTTTTTTCTTGCAGTGACCAATCTTTTAAATGACTCCCAAGTGGAGACGCCCTCCCCTTCAGAAGGGCTTCCAGCTTGCTCGGGTGAGGAGCTTCCTCGCCCTGGGTCATGTTCTTGGGAACTAGCCAGCATGGCCTCGGTTCCTGGTTCTTTGTCTTTTCCAGCCTCATCTGCTCTTTGGCTGTCTCCTCCCAATGTCCTTGGGGCTCCCTCCTCATCAGAAGATGATGCTTTTCTTGCCCTTTTCTTGGATGATCCCACACAGATCAAAGCTTCCCAAGACACTGAAGTATCCACCTTGCGCTTCGGTTCTTCTGGCTTTTGCTCTTCTGCACTTCCTTTGACTTCTTCTTGAATCTCAGAGGCTGCGCTCTCTGTGGAGGACAGGGTGGCACTTTTCACCTTGTCCAGCTCATCTTCTTTATCACTTTCGGAAGGCCTTCTGACACGTTTCTTGGGTGTCACCATCTTTTTGAAAGACGCCCAGGGAGTAACGCCCTCTCTTTTCTTTTCACCATCAGAAGTGGGTCCTTCTTCAACTTCTACCTCAGGAGGCGTGTCTGCTATCCCCTTCTCCAGGCAGGTGATCTCCTCAGGCTCCTCAGGGGAGGATGCAGAGCTCTCGCCCTTTTGCTCATCGTTACTATCTGGAGAATCTGCTGGAATGTGACTCTGCTCCCCAGACTCTTCATCTCCTCCTCCTCCTCTTTTCCCTTTCTGCTTCTTTCCAGAAAGTTTTTTTAAGCCAGTGCTGGTAAAAAGTTTCTTCAGTGGACTTCCCTGCACCTTAGTCCTCTCCTGGGAGGACAGCATCTCCACTTCGCTCACCTTAGCCCCCTCCTGGGAGGACAGCATCTCCACCTC